AGAATAGACCATTATGGTCCGGGCTTTCCCCGGACCCCAGGCATAGTGGGGGCTTAGTGCACCAGGCTGCCATTTAAATAAATTATTCTTTGACCGTATTTTTTTCAAATGCCTTTTAAATATTTTAATAATTATTGTGACTTATAATAATTTTAAATAATTTTTAAATATGTAAATTTTATTTTGAAAAACTAAAAAAAATTTATGTCCAAATACATGGTCAAAATTAAGAAGTTTAAATTTCAAAAACACGAAAAATGTTACGTAAATTGGGACCCTTTTTGGTCTAGCCGGTGAATGATGGATTGGCTAGCTACTGACCATTGATCACACCATTGGAATTTCTATTTTTGTTTTATTTTATGATTTATTTATTTATCTTTTAAATCTTGAAGGGAGAGTTCAAACTTCAAATAGCATGAACAAAATTAATGGTGACACAAAGTGGAGTAACATGTACCGCCGGATTTCATAATTATTTAAATTTCCAATTCTTTAATCTTTTGAAGAGGCTGGTTTTATAGCAAATGTTCTTTTGGTTATATGATCTTTTTTCTTAAGAAAAAATATAAAAAACACACGAATCAATAAATAAAACACAAAATCTTTGTAGATTAATCATTTCTTTCTTAAATTGTAACGGGTCAAAGAAAATCATTTCTTGTACCTTCTTAGAGCTTTTATTTTTCTTTTCCAAAAAAAGACTTCTCCCTGGTAACTGTGGACCATAGAAGATGTAGCGCTAAAACGAGTGAGTCTACCAGCTGAAACGGTACCTAATTTCCAATTATCTCTCCTCCAAATTCGACCGTAAAACTTTCTTTCTGTTTTCTCCCTTTTTTCTTTCTCTCTGTACTTGACAAACTTTCAGATTTTTCTTTTCTTTTCTTTTCCTTTCTTCTTTGATGGAAGTCTAATTTTCAGATAGCAATCAAATGCTGAATTTTCTACACGTAGCCATGCATGTTCATGATGATTGATGGTTTACGACCTAATTAAGACATTATAATTTTGTGGATTCTTTAGATTAAGGAAAACATTATATTGGAGAGGCAAAATGGCAGGTGAGGTAGTAACAGTTGGAAACAAAACAGAGGAGAATATAGTATGCTATGCTCCAACTATGATAACGACCAATGGTATATGGCAGGGCGAAAATCCACTTGATTATTCATTGCCACTCTTCATCTTGCAATTGACATTAGTTGTTGTCATGACTCGCATTCTCGTATTTATCTTGAAACCTTTTCGTCAACCTCGCGTTATCGCTGAGATCCTCGTAAGTTTCATTGTGTTTTCCAACATATATTGTTACGTACATTTTTTCTGTTCTCATTTGTCATGATCATTTCATATGAAAAAATCGCATGCATATTTACGTATAAGGGCAAATTAACATAGCATAAACGGAAGAGTCAAGTTGTCGCCGTGGAATCAACCACTGATGCTTGCATCAGGATAGGCTGCCTACATCGCACCCCTTTGGCGTACGGTCCTTCCTCGAATCCTGCGTGAACGCAGAATGCTTTGTGCACCGGGTTACCCTATAAATGGAGGAATCAAGATGTACGTTAATTAGAATTTTACATGTAAGATCAAAGAAGAGATCAAGTTTCTTAGAAGATTAAAGACACTATGAAAGAATATAATGTTGGTCTAGGCCAAATTTAAAGATTGTTCTTTTTTCTTTATTATGTCAATTTGTCATAAAAAAAAATGATGGATGTTCGTATGTGTAAATCTGCATCTATGGAAGGTAGCAAATTCTTGTTACATTTGTTGATTAAGTAGACTAATGTTGTCTTAAATGGTGACAGGGTGGTGTAATTTTGGGGCCATCAGTATTAGGAAGAAGTAAAAAATTTGCTGATACAATATTTCCTCTAAGAAGTGTGATGGTTCTTGAGACAATGGCAAATATAGGCCTTCTTTACTTTCTTTTTCTGGTTGGAGTAGAAATGGACATTGCTGTTATTCGTCGAACGGGCAAAAAAGCCATACCTATAGCTCTAGCAGGAATGGTAGTGCCATTTCTTATAGGAGTTTCATTCTCCTTTATGTTGCATAAGAGTTCACAAGATACAAAACAAGGGACTTTCATACTCTTCCTTGGAGTTGCACTTTCTGTCACTGCATTTCCTGTTCTTGCGCGAATCCTCGCTGAGCTGAAACTTATCAACACTGAAATTGGTAGGATAGCCATGTCTGCTGCTCTTATTAATGACATTTTTGCGTGGGTTCTCTTGGCATTTGCCATTGCCTTTTCTGAGAATCATAATATGGCTTTGGCTTCAATTTGGGTGATTCTGTCAAGTGCAGCCTTTGTTGTTTTCTGCGTTATTATTGTTAGGCCTTTAGTTGGATGGATGATAAGACGAACTCCAGAAGGCGAATCCATCAGCGAGTTCTCTATCTGTCTCATTCTCACTGGAGTTATGATATGTGGATTCATAACAGATGCAATTGGAACGCATTCTATTTTTGGGGCTTTCATATTTGGATTGGTCATTCCTAATGGTCCACTTGGTGTGACACTTATTGAAAGGCTAGAGGACTTTGTTTCAGGTCTTTTGTTGCCTCTCTTTTTTGCCATTAGTGGTCTCAAGACAGAGATTAGTGCCATTGATGGAGTTGGTACATGGGCCATTTTAGCTTTAGTAATAGTCCTAGCTTGTGCTGGCAAAATTGCTGGAACAGTCCTTGTAACTCTCTATTACAGAATGCCATTTTATGAAGGCGTTACTCTTGGTCTTCTTATGAATGCCAAAGGACTCATTGAGATGATTGTGATCAATGTTGGTAAAGACCAAAAGGTACATTATTATTCTTCTTGACATACCATACAGAGAAATTAATTAGTACTATTTGCAACATTAACCTAAATGCATCCTTGTAGGTTCTTGATGACAAATCATTTGCAATTATGGTCATGGTAGCTGTGCTTATGACTGCTTGTATCATCCCAATTGTGACTATAATTTACAAGCCGGCAAGAAAGTTTGTGCCATATAAAAGAAGAACGGTACAAAGTACAAAGCCAGATAGCGAATTCAGGGTACTGGTTTGCATCCACACACCAAGAAATGTTCCAACAATTATCAATATTCTTGAAGCCTCGTATCCCACCAAGAAATCTCCAATAGGTATTTACGTCCTTCACCTTGTCGAGCTCACTGGACGTTCATCTGCCATGCTTATCGTCCATAATACGCGAAAATCCGGCAGGCCAGCACTTAACAGAACTCAAGCTCAATCAGATCACATCATCAATGCATTCGAGAACTTTGAGCAGCACGTTGGATGTGTCTCCGTGCAACCTCTCACTGCCATCTCCCCTTACTCCACTATGCACGAAGACATCTGCACAGTGGCTGAGGACAAGCGAGTGGCGCTCCTAATCGTCCCATTTCACAAGCAACAAACAGTTGATGGCGGAATGGAAGTTACAAATCCAGCTTTTCGAACTATAAACCAGAATGTATTAGCAAATGCACCTTGTTCTGTTGGTATTCTTGTTGACAGAGGACTAAGTGGATCCACAAGGCTGGCTGCTAACCAGGTATCTCACCATGTCGCCGTCCTATTCTTTGGTGGACCAGATGATCGTGAAGCATTGTCCTATGGATTAAGAATGAGGGAACATCCCGGGATCAACCTCACTGTCATGCGGTTCCTCCCTGGAGAAGCTGCAATTGAAGCAACAAGATCTGATTCAAGAAAGAGTAGTATGAATGATCCAGGAGTTCTAACAGTCGTAACAGACGACGACAGAGAAAAACAACTGGACGAGGACTATGTTAGCGAGTTCAGGGCACGAACATCTAATGATGATTCAGTTGTATACATTGAAAGAGTAGTGAATCATGGAGAAGAGACAGTAGCAGCAATAAGGACAATAGATAACTCACATGACCTGTTCATAGTTGGTAGAGGACAAGGCACTATATCGCCGTTGACAGCAGGACTTACTGACTGGAGTGAGTGCCCAGAGCTAGGTGCAATAGGGGATCTGTTAGCATCCTCAGATTCTGCATCAGCTGTTTCAGTGTTGGTGGTGCAACAGTATGTAGGAATGGGGGCAGGGGATCAGCTTCTTACACCAGACAGTCCTAGCCAGCAATTACATGAGCACTTTAACTTCAGCCATATGAATCCTCGCACACAAATCAGAGGACAGCAGCCTCAATTCCATACACAACCCTGATAACATTTGTAGGATTTTTGGTTTTGTTCTGTAAAATTTTTTCCAAGAAATTAGTGACATTCTTTCTTACTTTTTTCTTCATCTTTTTGAATTTTTGAAATGCCATCTTGGAATGTGGAAGATAATATTGGATCCTGCCTATCCATTATGTATAAAACTTAATTATAAAGGTTCAGGTTGAATTACTCTTCTCTGCAAAGGACTTATCATCTTATTCTCAATTCTCATTCCTTGTGAAAGGAATAAACATAAATCTAAGAGATGAACATCACATTTTATCTAACTTTATTAGCCCTCTATCAGTAGTTGAAGGTCATTAAAGTTGGTCACATGCAAATGAGCCTCAATTTCTAAAGTTTAGTTGTACTTGCGATTATGTCATTGATGTTTCTATCACTAAGTCCGACGCCTTTTGCTTTTAACATTCTCCAATTCAAATTGTACCTCTCTTACTCAATTCTCATGACTGGGTTTTTATTCCGTACACTCCCTGCCAGGAAGTTCTCTATTCCCATGGTTCAAATCCGAAACTTCTAATTAAGGATGGGGGATCTCAACCTTCCCACCACACCTTGATAGTATTCGCACGAGAAGTTAAGTATTGGGTGAAATCAAAAGAAGTATGCGTAACTATTTAGAGTTGTTTCATGAATCAGTTTTAAAACTTTAGTATTCTTTCTAGGTACAAATTTAAAAGAGAGGAAAAGAAAAAGGAAAGATCAAATTGGCAGATGAAAAGGATGAAATTGTCACACTGCTGAAAGAAAAAAACTTAATATCAATACCTTCTCAATAATTGATTTCCCGAGATCAAACATAATATAATTCCTTAATGAGAAGATAACCATCTTATTACAAATAAAAATGGGATACAACACATTGAAAAGAAGAAGAGCAGAGCCAGCTTCCTTCTAAGCAATAGAATAATTTCACATATCTCCTGAGAAAATAAGCAACCATGCATAAACACACTCTGTACTGATAGTGTGAAAAATCTTTTACACTGTCAGTACTTTTCACACAAAAAACTTATAGAGAAAACAAACAACACAACAAGATAACTATGCCTCAGTCCCAAACAAGTTGGGGTCGGACGAAAATAGAGAATGGCCGTTTATGCGCATTGGAAGTCTTTAGGGACAGTCTTTCCACAATTGTTGAGCAATAAGCTGAGGGAAAGAGCAGTATCAAGGTTAGTTCCCAAGAGCTTAGCTTTAATGGCAGTGCAAAGGCAAACTGCAGCATCGACATCAGCAAGATTCTCAATGAGAGAGCAGCATGAACTCTTTGATGAGCTTCCAATAACAACATGCACCAAGTCATTCAATAAATTGGCACACACCTTCAATTTTAGTGTGTCCTTTGGGCACTTATTATAACCCTTGGATGATGGGGTAGTGGGATGGGGGTGATTCCTTGTTTTTGGTGGGCATGGGATGTAAGTTGAACTAACCATTGTGAAGAAGAGAATGTTCAAAGTGAGGAGAAGGACGATGAATGATGCAGTAGCCTTCGCCATTTGATTAGTGAAAAAATGTACGTGGGAAGTGCTTGTGTGTAATACTAGAGCTAAGAGATTACTTGGTGAAGGAAATGAACAACTGAGTGAGAATTTATAGATGGAAAATGCGAGTATTTTTAATTTGTTTGCTATTTTGTGTAACTAATAAGTGATCAAGAAAATTTAGAGAGGCCCATGTGGGCTATTGCATTAGATATATAGAGATATCAGGACAAGCTGGCAAAATACAATTCAAGATTAGCCTAGCCTATAATGGTTCTTGACGTTGGTGCTCAGTGAATTCCGTTAGTTGTAACTATTCTTAGTTGTGGAAGAAAAAAAAGCTATCCCATATTTTCATATAAATATGTCGGACCTGTATCAAGACCTAAAAACCATCAAGATTGAAGCTTTTCTTCACCTTGGAGACTAGTAGTAATCGTCTGATCTATTTTTTCAACTATTCTAGTGTAAGTGTGAATAAACGAAGATCGGGCCAAAATATATACGTTAGGCAAGGTTTTCGTAAAATGCTAGATCTTCCTTCTATACCTTTTATATTTTCACATTAATAGGCTATTATATTGACTGCAAATCTTCAAGGAAACCCTATATATCATAACTATCAATTCAAGACTCTGATGCAGGTCTTCCTCATTTTGAGTACATGATAGTACTTCAGGTCCAAAATGGATGCTGCACATTCCTTACAAAAACATTTAATAGTCTCAATTATAAGAGAATTTGTGTAAACTATCTTCATATTCCTTCTTAAATGTCTCATATATAATTAACACCCCACTAATTGGAACAATAACAAATGTTTGTATGGTCAAAACCGATTCTCAGTCATAAAGACCGGTCGAGACAATGATGTTTCAATCGAAGGGTATCCACATGACAAGCTCGGACGAATTCCGAAGTAGGGACGTCGAGCTTCGCGCTATAAACGGCAAAACTCGATATCATTATCGAGCCCGTGTCCGAATCGGACTACGGGGCAACACCGATCGACACAGGCCCCGAATATCGATGCCCCAAGGCAGAACCGAGCTCGAACCAAGACTGAGGGTTCGACCTAACACCGAGCTCGAGCCAGTGCCAAGCTCGCAGACAAGAGCCGTAACAACCGCACCGAGGGAGAGAATTTTGGCGAGAATCAAGGAAGAGACAAATCATCATGGGTCCTCCACTATATGTATTATTTTATTATGTTGTTATAGATAAAACAGTGATCCTCTACTATAAAAAGGGGGATAGACTACAATAGAGGCAAGTTCTCCAAGATACATTAAGATTTCATTATGCTTGTTTTTCTAACTCATTTCAGTCTTGCCGTCCATCATTCCCATTTTATAGCAAAAATACCTGTATTGTCATTTTGTATCAAAGGGATTCGCATACCCTTAGAACCATATCTAAATTTAACGTTATCCGATTTTTCGGGTAAATAAAATGACTTCTTATTTTTTAGAATGCCAACTATCTTAAACCAAATTAAACGACTTATATTTTGGAGCAGAGGGAATCCCAAATATTGTGATAATTGAGCTTCAAATCCAAAGGTCTTAATTGATATGGAAATTCCTTTTCCTATACCCTACGAATATGTATCTTACATACCAGCCCTTGAACCCAATAGTTAATGGTTGATGGAGACCCCATTAAATGCATTATACGTTTATAGCAAACCTACCTAACACAAATACACCAAGTACTGTAACAAAGATGTTGCATTAATGGCTCCAAGAGAGAATGACACGCAGGAATAACCAAGATTATGCTATGATATTATAGTAAATTAAGGAACTAATAACGCATTAATTAGACAATAAACCATTATAAGGTGTTACTTAACAACAAAGAAACTTTTTGTAATGGTTGGTCATTATGTAAATGGGAATGTAATTACGTAACTGTAGATGACATGTGCCTATTGTGACATTATGGTCTTTTCTCGGCAATCATTGATCTTTTCGTTTCCCTGCATTTGTGGACTTCCAGTAGACTTAAACGGAAAAGCTTCCTCTAACTTCTGCCAACATTTCAGCTTCTTTTGAACTTTCTGTTTCTTTAACATCTAATGTTATCATTTTTACCAAAAATGAAGGGTCATCAGTCATCACTGGGCATGGCCAACCTATATCATCAAAGTGGCAAGGATGCTTCTGGACTTGATAAAGACGACTGAATGACCTCTCTATCCCAGTAGAGAAGACATTTTGGGATCTTGTGGTTTCAGTTCTGTGGATGGAAAGTAGTTGAGATGATTTTAATGTTGCCATTAATACCATGTGTCCAAGCCTAAATATTATGAGTCCGGAACCTAAATGTGGTCTTTTTAGACTCAAATAATCGAAATGAGTGAAAAAACAATGTGACCAAATTATATATAGCGCCCTTTTAAAGGGCGCTATACCTTAACGTCCGTTTTGAACGTTAAGGTATAGCGCTCTTTAAAAGGGCGCTATACATGAAGTTGATTAGACTGGCAGGTATAGAACCTTTATAAACGGTGCTATACATATTTTATGGGCCCACCAATAACTCTTATGCGCTTAACTGACATAACAATAATTCAAATGGGCTATATCTAAAAAAATTTGACACCCCGAGTTGAGCATTGCCTTATTTAAAGGCGTTAAGGATTTTGCAAAAATCCATTCACAAAAATTCTCAACTCCTGTTAAATTTTTCTTCTTGTTAAATTCTCAAGCATTTTGTCATAATGTCTGANAGGAATTTCTTTTGATAAAAATATTGGAAATGTACGTGAATGTTGAAGACGTTCGCAATAATGAGGTGGCGCAAAGCAGGGATAACCCTTAGTCATTGGGTGGTTATTCTAGAGCAGTTTTTGCCGAACAGGTTCCGGCTGAAAGAGTTTGGCCTGATTTAAACTTATCTCCACGGGCGAATGAGGATCGAGGAAATAATTTCTCTCCTACTTTACATAATCCACAAGACGAGTGGTAAACTTCAATTTTCCTTTTGTGTTACGATATTTATTTTTGTTGTATTGAGTTTGTATTAACACTCATATATTCCACAGGGGGTACCAGCCAGATATGAATTTTACAAGTTATAAACCCACGCCCAGTTGGAATATGCATAGTTCTAGTGTGTTGGATCATGGTGGTCCATCCGGGAGTCATCACCAACAGGATAATGTCCATCATGGGATGTCAACACATTACGACTTGTAAGTGAAGTGATATAGCTATATGTAAAATGATTGACAATTTGAGTAGCTCATTATTTTGTTGTTTGTGCAGTGAAAACGAGCAAGTTGAACCTCTTGTCCTGACTCAATTGCCCGAAGACGACATATTTAATCGAGATCTGGCAGATGCACAGAGTCAGAAAGAGAACAGTGATTATGACAACAATGCTGATAAGTCCGGAGATGACACACCCTTCCCTGATGAGGGTGGTGATGAGGAGGAAGAGAATGCTGGACCTGATTTGACGAGGGAGCATGCTCCACCCCCCGTTAGACCAAGAGTGTACGAGTCCCATGTACTGTTTCATTCAAGGGAGATTCCCTACCTTGATCATTTGCCAAGTATGCCGGATGTGGATGCCCTCACAAGGGATACTGACGAAATTTAGATAGCAATGTGGGATGAGTCTAGACAAACGGAGCTGGCAAAGGGGATGCTTTTTCCTGATAAATCGCACCTAAGCAGGGCGACGAAAATGTACAGCGTAAAAGAGTGTCGTGAGATGATGGTATGGGAGTCAACTTCGGATATATACAAGGTTGTTTGTCGTAGATGGTTTACGGGTTGTCATTGGATGCTGCGCGCGAGCAAGAAGAAAACAAGTATGTGAAAAGTGGGTAAATACATTGGCACCCACACTTGTGAAATGGACACATTCAGTGGGAATCACTTCAACTTGGATGTTGACTTGATTTCTCTTGTCCTGATTCCATAAATTGAAGCGTCCATAAGGTACGAGATCAAAGAGTGCACGTCCACCAGGAATATGGGTGCACCATTACCAAAAGAAAGGCATTTCTCGGGCGCAAACATGCGTTTGAAATTGTTTATGGTAACTGAGATAAGTTCATTGCATCAATACCCAGGTACATGGCTGTATTGCAACACTTTAACCCCGGGACTGTTGTTGAATGGAAGCTTGAGCGGAGTCCGGAAATACCAGAACATATATTAAAATATGTGTTCTGGGCATTTAAACCAGCAATTGATGGTTTTCTGCATTGCCGGCCGGTAATATCCATAGACGACACTCATGTCTATGGAAAGTATGATATTAAGCTGTTGATCGCCCTTGCAGTAGATGCTAATGGAAGTATATTTCCCTTAGCTTTTGCTATTTGTGCCAATGAAAGACAAGAGACGTGGACACTATTTTTGAACCACTTGAAAGAGCACGTTATCAAACAGCGTTCAGGTATTTGTCTAATATCTGATCGGCATGGTAGTATTTTAAGTTTTGTACAGAATTTGCGTGCATGGCAGGAACCGTATGCCTACCACCGTCACTGTGTAAGGCACCTGAAGGCCAATTTCCAGAAGGCATATCCCAATAAGGATTTGTATGATTTAATATGGATGGCTGCAACAGATCACCAAGAGTGTAAATTCAGGAGGCGCATGGAATCTATCTGGCAGGAAGACGAGGGAGCCTATCGTTGGTTGATGCGACATGAGCTTGAAAAGTGGACTTTGCATGCGGATGGTGGCAGAAGATGGGGAATTCTGACTACAAATGTGTTAGAGTCTTTCAACGGGTTATTGAAGTCTGCATGAGGATTGCCTGTCACTGCCATGGTGCAGATGTCATTCAAACAGATGGCGGAGAGGTTTGTTGAAAGGGCTAGAGGTGCATCGTCATTGATGGAAAGGGGTGTTGAATTTATGCCAATACCAATGAAAAGATTTGAGAAATACAGGAAGCGAGCACATTAGCATTCATTTTTGCAGTCTTGCAACGAGCGAAATATTTTTGAAGTTCGCACCTTTATCCATCACAACCGGGGGAATAATAAACACACCGAAAATAAAGCCAGAAGGTTATGTTCTTGTGGAAAATGGTCCGTCTACCACATTGATAAGTAGGGATTTTAAC